CGGAAAGCCTGCTGACCCCAGAGAGACAGTGCTTGAGAGAGAGAGTGGCATCTGCCAGAGAGATGGGGGAGACTGAGATCTTCCAGAAAGGTTGGTCACCCTCTGCCGAGTGGCATCAGTTCCCACAGGGACAGCCTTTCTCACAAGCGCTTCAAGGTTATGTTTCCTTGTTGTGTCTTTGTGAGGAGTGTTTGAGGGGAAGAAAGGACAAGCGGGCTTGTGAAAAGTTCCAAGACGTCCCCAGTCTCTTCCACCTCCCTGCAAGACAAATTACTTCTGTTAATGACAGCCATGGCCTACCTCAGACTCCCTGGCTGAGTGCCAACAGGTGTCAACTATGGGTGCTGGCAAAGATGAGAGAGGGGTTACTGCTGTAGGTTTGAATGACCAGTTATACCTGACTCAGCTAAAAAGAGTAGTTACAGCTCTTTCCCTGTGCTCATGAGGGGCCGTCACAAACCAGTGTGATGGTGACATGCCTGCCTACCTGATGTCTCAGCCCTGCTAAGTGGCTGAAGCTGTTAATATATGTAGGTTTCACTCCAAGACAGTGTTTACTGTTTTAGAGACGTGAATACAGCTGTGATGGAGTTACTGATTATGGCCTATGCACTGAAGACTGCCTGTGCCAGGAATATCATCGGTGTCATCCCCTACTTCCCCTACAGCAAGCAAAGCAAGATGAGGAAGAGAGGCTCCATCGTGTGCAAACTCCTGGCGTCCATGCTGGCAAAGGCTGGTGAGTGAGCAGAGGTGCTGGGGTCCCAGCACTAGACACGCCCTCGCCCTAGTGCAGATCTGCTTTGGGACCTGTTTCTCTGTGTGCTGACTAATGACATCTTGTTTCCTTTTACATTGTTTGGAAGGGGCATAGGAGCTGAGTGGTTAAATTCTTAGTGTTCCCCTCTGTCTCTATAGGGGAATGTGTTAGCATTTCCTTTGATCTGCTTTGTTTGTTTGTTTGTTTGTTTTGTTTTGTTTTTCGGGACAGGGTTTCTCTGTGGCTTTGGAGGCTGTCCTGGAACTAGCTCTTGTAGGCCAGGCTGGTCTCGAACTCACAGAGATCCGCCTGCGTCTGCCTCCTGAGTGTTGGGATTAAAGGCGAGCGCCACCAACGCCCAGCTCTGATCTGTTTTTGTTGTGTTACTTTGGCATCATCTTGTTGTCTATATTTTAATTGTCAGGCTTGTCATCCTTGTGACCTCTCAAGCTTCAGGCTGTTTGCCTGAATTAGACGAATTAGTTGATGAGCGTTTTTCTTAGTGTTTCTTTACTCTTCCCTAGCTCTCACTGCTTTTCTGTGTAGCAGTTTACAATTCCTTCTGTGCAGAGAGAGCAGCCTGTGCTTCCTGTCGGAATAACATTGGACAGTGGCTGAGGTTTCCCTGTCTGGTGTTGTTAAGAGTACTGGTTCTTTGGTCTGGGAGACCAGTGACGTGAGCACTGTGTTTGTAGATGTCACTTTCTGAGAAAGCTCTCACACCATCCTTCATGGTGTTGGGAATCACGGGACGAGTCAGGGCCTCACGCTTGTCCTGTGGATCTCTTGGGTTGGTCTGCTTCACCTTCTTTTTGAGGTAGCCATAGTCTCTAGCAATTTTATTTTACAGTCTTTTATGAGGGCCTGCTTTTCCATGTTTGTATTTTGATATCTGACTTTTCTCTTTTGACCACACTGATGGTAATGCAGAGAGCACACCCCTTTAAGACTAACAATAGTTTGCGTCCCTAGTTCACAGTACCCCTGCCTTCAGTGTTCTGGGAGGAAGCAGGAACACCTAGTTTGTGTCCACTGTGGCCGTTAACTTGTAGGGAGAACTTTGTAATTTTTTGTTTTAAAATTTCAGGTTTAACTCACATAATCACTATGGATCTTCACCAAAAGGAAATACAAGGCTTTTTCAGCTTTCCAGTGGACAACCTTAGAGCCTCACCTTTCCTGCTTCAGTATATCCAGGAGGAAGTGAGCGGCCGCCAGCAGACCCCATGTCCTGTCCTCAGAGACATGCCCCATGTCCTGTCCTCAGAGACATGCTATGAAAGGCAAATCCCACCCAAGACAGAGCTCTCCCTGAGGCTCAATGCCTGCCGCTGCCAGATAGACTCAGCATCTAGTCAGAACATTTCCCTCAGTACTTTTATCCTTATGTTTTCTAGAATGAAGGCTTCAACAGTTTTGTCTCAATGTGGCAGTCAGAGCTTTTACAGCAGTGAGTTGATGGTGATAATGAGAACGTCAGCATGAACTCCAGCACATTGATCACTATTGTGGATTATTAGAAATCTTAGACCAGTATCCAGATTTAGGTGTTATCCTTTTTTAATAATGTTTCAGTGTTTTTTTATTTTTCCTCCAAATCTAGATTCCAAATTACAGAAATGCAGTCATTGTAGCTAAGTCTCCTGATGCTGCAAAAAGGTAAATATTCCAGATATTTCTATCCCCTATGGTTGCTTCTGAAGTCAAAGTCAGTGTGGGAACCCAGGACTATCATACATGGCCAGTAAAAGTTCATGGTTCACATCCGTTCAGCAGCTTCATCTTACCACTCTAAACATCGTGGGTGCCTCAAGCACAGTGTTAGTTTTCCTCTGGGAGGAAATGGAATTCTTCAGGTTTTCAGGAAAACAGTGAGGCTGTGAACACTTTCAGTCAGTGGTCCTATTTGGGTTTTTTGTTTGTTTTGTTTTGTAGATAGTGTATCGTGTAGGCATCCCAGGCTGCTTTAGGCTCTTTTTGTAGCCGAGGGTGACCTTGAACTCCTGATCTTTCTGCTCTCCAGTGCTACAATTGCTTTCGAGTGCCACCCATGCCCTGTTTACGTAGTACTTACTGGGAATCAAACCAGAGCCTCTGTCATGCCAAGTGAGCTCTCTACCAACTCAGCCATGCCCCCAGCCTGAAGTTGATTTTGAAATATCATTTGAGCAAAGTTTTAGGAATGGCTTTATAGAATATTGGGGAGAAAAGAAACCCAAACTATCTAGAATCCAGTGGTAGCCCTTGAGGTATTTTTCTTCTGGCCTGGCTTATAGAAATGACTCTTGTGCCTCCTTCAAAGGTTGACTGTTTTGTGATCACTAGAGTGGTACCTTGGGCCAGGCATTCTTCCCATCGGTGTCACCATTGCCAACCATTGTCTTCCCCTCAGGGCTCAGTCCTATGCCGAGAGACTGCGCCTGGGGCTGGCTGTGATCCACGGAGAAGCGCAGTGCACAGAGCTGGACATGGACGACGGTCGACACTCGCCCCCCATGGTCAAGAACGCCACTGTGCACCCGGGCCTGGAGCTGCCCTGTAAGATTGGCTCTGTGTTTTCATTGGTAAACTGAAGAAAATCGGAATAGCGTGAATGGCAAGAATTGCCAGTGGGGCCGGGCATTGGTGATGCATGCCTTTAATCCCAGCACTCGGGAGGCAGAGGCAGATGGATCTCTGTGAGTTCAAGGCCAACCTGGTTGGTCTCCAGAGCGAGTGCCAGGATAGGCTCCAAAGCTACACAGAGAAACCCCGTCTTGAAACCCCACCCCCCAAAAAAAAAAAGAATTACCAGTGGGGTGTAGGGCACAGGCTCTTGGTGATGCTTATTTCTAAATTATCGAGTGGTGTTGGCTCGACTTCACTTTTATAAGGAAGGTTAGGTGTTCTAGGACACGTTTGCAGTGTGGGCAGGACAGAGCTTGTGTTAAAAACGTCCAGCTTTAGTAAACAGCTGTATGTGATGGTATGGAGTCCAAAGCCTTCGGTTGTATTTTGGCAAGTGACACAGTCTTTGGTATCAGGCACCTTTACCATTTCGTTTAGTAGGGTAGCTCTTTGACCTGATACCTGACTAACTTGCTCCTCCTACTCCAAATGTGCCAGCAGTTCACTTCCACAGACTCTGACAAGTGTATACAGCAACAAGCCTTAAGATGTTTAGAGGAAAGATTCTTTTGAAACAGTTCTTCTTTCCTGTGCTTCAGAAACAAAAGATTGATGGGGTTGGTTTGGGAGGCCCAGTTCAATTGTGTGGACTCTCCGACCCATTAATGCTGTTATTTCACTTTTCTTTGTTTGAGATGAGGGTTTCTCTGTGTAGCCCTGGCTGTCTGGAACTCACTCTGTAGACCAGGCTGGCCTTGAACTCACAGAGATCCACCTACCCTGCCTTCTGAGTGTTGGGACTAAAGGCCTGCACCACCACCTCCTGGCTGTTGTTTTTCATTGCTAGTTTTCTATATTTTTTATATAACAAGTATGTTATGTGCTTTTAATTTAATTTAATTTTTTTTTCTGGACACTTGGCTGTGAAAGAGTGCAGATATGTACTGCTCTCTTCATCCGGATCTTCTTTTTTAGATCTGACCCTGTTGTCGTGTGGTTGGTTTGAGCCTGAGCTGTGGCTCTGCTGCCCTTTTACCCTAAACCCATGAATGCACAGTGACACTGGGATTCTCACTCAGAGCCTTTGTTTTGTTTGGCCCAGGGTCTGACCTGTGGCTGGACATTGCATTCAGTTGGCGTTTCTGTGGCCTCATTTAATCCAGAATGGCTCCTTCTTTCTGTGTCTCTGACCTTAATACTGTAGAGCAACACAGACCAGTTATTTTGTAGACTATCCCTTAATTGGGATTTGTTTATGTTCTCATGCTTAGATTCAAATCTAGGTATTTGGCTGGAATGCCGAAGGAAACACGTGGTGTCCCATTGCTGGAGAGGCTGATTTGAGTGTCTTAGTTAAGATGGTGCCTGGCAGGCTTCCTTCTAGGAAAGTTACTCTCTTTACTTGTTGATGGTACTGTATTGTGAATGCCCATTTCTCATCAGACTTAGCCTCTACTCTCACAACTGTTGACAGGTGCTTGTTTTGAGACAGTCTTGCTTTGCAGCCTGGGCTGGGCTTGAAGTTCTCCTTCAGCCTCGCAAACCCCCCCCCCCCAAGTGCTAGGATTACTAGTATGTACCACCATGCCTGGCCTCCTTTTTCCAGAGAGAGAGAGAAAGCGAGAACGAGCACATGTGAGGGTGCTTGTAAAGGCCAAAAAAGGTTTTGGATCCCTTGGAGCTGAAGTTACAGGCATTCATGAGCCATCTAATGTGGGTGCTGGGATCTGAACTCTGGTCCTCTTTTTAAGATGGTGTCTTAATGTGTTGCCCACCTGTCTCAGACTTTGGCACTGAAGTAGTAACACTTGCCTCAACCTCCCCCCCAAGGACTCAACCTCCCCTCAAGGCCTCAGCCTCCCCCCCAAGGCCTCAACTCCCCCCCAAGGACTCACCCTCCCCCCCAAGGACTCAACCTCCCCTCAAGGCCTCAGCCTCCCCCCCAAGGCCTCAACTCCCCCCCAAGGACTCACCCTCCCCCCCAAGGACTCAACCTCCCCTCAAGGCCTCAGCCTCCCCCCCAAGGCCTCAACTCCCCCCCAAGGACTCACCCTCCCCCCCAAGGACTCAACCTCCCCTCAAGGCCTCAGCCTCCCCCCCAAGGCCTCAACTCCCCCCCAAGGACTCACCCTCCCCCCCAAGGACTCAACCTCCCCTCAAGGCCTCAGCCTCCCCCCCAAGGCCTCAACTCCCCCCCAAGGACTCACCCTCCCCCCCAAGGACTCAACCTCCCCTCAAGGCCTCAGCCTCCCCCCCAAGGCCTCAACTCCCCCCCAAGGACTCACCCTCCCCCCCAAGGACTCAACCTCCCCTCAAGGCCTCAGCCTCCCCCCCAAGGCCTCAACTCCCCCCCAAGGACTCACCCTCCCCCCCAAGGACTCAACCTCCCCTCAAGGCCTCAGCCTCCCCCCCAAGGCCTCAACTCCCCCCCAAGGACTCACCCTCCCCCCCAAGGACTCAACCTCCCCTCAAGGCCTCAGCCTCCCCCCCAAGGCCTCAACTCCCCCCCAAGGACTCACCCTCCCCCCCAAGGACTCAACCTCCCCTCAAGGCCTCAGCCTCCCCCCCAAGGCCTCAACTCCCCCCCAAGGACTCACCCTCCCCCCCAAGGACTCAACCTCCCCTCAAGGCCTCAGCCTCCCCCCCAAGGCCTCAACTCCCCCCCAAGGACTCACCCTCCCCCCCAAGGACTCAACCTCCCCTCAAGGCCTCAGCCTCCCCCCCAAGGCCTCAACTCCCCCCCAAGGACTCACCCTCCCCCCCAAGGACTCAACCTCCCCTCAAGGCCTCAGCCTCCCCCCCAAGGCCTCAACTCCCCCCCAAGGACTCACCCTCCCCCCCAAGGACTCAACCTCCCCTCAAGGCCTCAGCCTCCCCCCCAAGGCCTCAACTCCCCCCCAAGGACTCACCCTCCCCCCCAAGGACTCAACCTCCCCTCAAGGCCTCAGCCTCCCCCCCAAGGCCTCAACTCCCCCCCAAGGACTCACCCTCCCCCCCAAGGACTCAACCTCCCCTCAAGGCCTCAGCCTCCCCCCCAAGGCCTCAACTCCCCCCCAAGGACTCACCCTCCCCCCCAAGGACTCAACCTCCCCTCAAGGCCTCAGCCTCCCCCCCAAGGCCTCAACCCCCCCCCCAGGGCCGCAGCCTCCCCCCAAGGCCTCAACCTCCCCCCCCTTTCCGGGGCCACTTCATACCACCACACTAGAGGCGCGGTCTGTTGGGATGCGTTCCTGATGTGTGCCCTAGGCTGGCCTGAAATTCTCAACCCTCCAGTCTCCCTCTCATCGTCTGTCACCACGCCAGGCTGCTAACCTTTGTACAGGGCAATCGTGACGGCCCTGATTCTGATGGGAAATGATGTTCAGAATGAGCCCAGATAGTGGTGGCTAACAAAAAAAAAAAAAAAAAAAAAAAAACAAACAAAAAAACAGAAAATACCTCATTTAGTGCATTTTAATACTAATTGTAATTGTAGATTGATATGGTACACCACCACCACCCCGAGACAGGGTTTCTGTGTAGTTTTGGAGCCTATCCTGGCACTCGCTCTGGAGACTAGGCTGGCCTCGAACACACAGAGATCTGCCTGCCTCTGAGTGTTGGGATTAAAGGCGTGTGCCACCAACGCTCAGCTGATATGGTACAGCTTTTTTTTTTTTTTTTATTATGTATACAACATTCTGCTTCCGTGTATATCTGAACATTAGAAGAGGGCACCAGATCACATAACGGATGGTTGTGTGCCACCATGTGGTTGCTGGGAATTGAACTCAGGACCTCTGGAAGAGCAGTTAGTGCTCTTAACCTCTGAGCCGTCTCTCCAGCCCCCTATTTTTTTTTAAAGATTTTGATGTGATACAGTTTTAAGTATGCTATATAAAATATCAAATTTACCTTTGCATTTTATTTTTATTTTATTATTTTATTTAATTTTTTAGTTATATGTGCATGAATGTTTTGTCTGTGTGTGTACCATGTGCATGCCTGGTGCTCCAAGAGGTCAAAAGAGAAACTGGGACCTCCTGACCCTGGGTGGATGTAAACTATGATGTGATGTGGGGATGAACCCAAGTACTCCACAGGAGCAGCTCCTCTCCAGTTCTGCCTTCTGGTTTTACTTGATGTCGCTATTA